ACTGAAATCTCATTTCAAAAAGAGTGAAAATATTACCACTTACTGTTGTTCGAGAACAGCAGTATTCTCACTCTTTTAAAATGAGGATTTCACTTCAAAGAATTTCGAGAGGAGAATTGAAAGAGAAGACAGATAGTAAATTAAATCGAGATTAAATTAATCTCGGATTAATCTTACATTTGTGTAACCGAGCCATATTTGATTATGTCGTACGAACGATATAAAAGAGATTCGCCGATAAAATGGATAGAAATGTAGCATTAAATGTTAAAGATATCATTATTAAGAAATTTGATTCACCGAGCTATTTTATACGTTCCGCGTATAATGAAATGAGGCTACCTAGAGGGATGAACAATTCAATGCCGTCGTTAGACGGCGTAAGGTAAAAATTACAAGCCCGCATCGATTTTCGAACGACGTCCCGTCACTCGCTTCCGATTATCTCGAGGCGGACGCGAACGCCGTTCGACCTTCGCAAACGTTACGAGAAGCTCGATACTGAAGTTCGCGCCTACTCGTCGCGCGAGAGAAACACTGTTCGCGGAAACGTTAATACCAACGAATAGCAAACGGCAAAGTACGTGCGCTTTTGTTCCCGCGCGCGGTAAATGTCGACCGGCATAAAATGCCATTGATTCAACCAAGTAATATCGTTGATTCCTCGACAGTTCTCCATTCGCATGTAAAGAGAAACTAATTTTGGGTTTCGCGCGAACACTGGGTGTATCTGAAGATTATATGAGAAGGCGGGTATTATTTAAACTTCGGGACAGACCAGGACTTATTTATATGCCGCACAATTGTAGCATTGTACAGACAGTTATATGGAGTATAAGTGATAATGTAATAGTACTTTTAAATCTTTTCCAGACGATTGTCTGGAATGCTCGAATTGTTCGATCCATGAAAAAGGTTGAATGTCGACCAACTATCTCAAATGAGGAGGGACACTCGTATAACGTAACCCAAATTTTGTCCCAAATTGGATATGGTTACGAATTTGTCCCTCTTTTAAGTATGAAAGTAAAATAAGTGACATAAATGAAAATAATAAGAGGGTCAAATATAATTTTTAACATGTGAAAAAAAGAGTCTTACAATTTTTTATTTAAAAATACATTAAGTAGAAGATTACTGTTTAAAAAATAAAATGTGATTTCGTAACTTGATGTAATTTTTGTTATAATCTCACATGATATTAAATTAAGTATTATTAGATGTTTACAAATATGTAATTTTGTTCTTGCATTGCATTAGCAACTATAAAGAATGTTTATCTGTTAAAATTTTTAAGATGTCTTCCTAAGAAGTTGGACATCTTAATGCTAAGTCAGTATTCGTGATAGACCTAAAATATTGTAAAAAGGTTTAAATATCATTGGCATTTCTATAATTACAGGCGTCGAGCATGCCATGCGCACTTAACAGGGAGGTAATCGCGTTGCACACCTGGCGCAACATGCATCCTTCCACGCCCTTGCCGCAGCAGCAGTTCGACCGCCTCGCCAGGGATATCGAACTGGCCGCATTCGATGAGGAATCTGTCGCAATTATGACAGTTATCGAGTACGTTATTTCCTTCGAGTATGTCCCCTACCCCAGAGCGTTTCCACGGTAAAGACAAGACCTGGCGAAATTCTTTCGAAGGAATCCTTTAGTCCGCGTAAAAGGCCGTGGGTCCTCGGCGGAGAATCTGGGGGTGGATTCTCAAGAATTTTTGAACCGCTTTTAATTGCTAGTTAAACTTTAACTCCGCAAAACTAATTTATTACAGCAAAATCCACCTGAAATTAAATTAAGGCTAAACTTTGCTTACTGATTCTCATCTCCGGGAGGTTAATTCGCCTTAACAAGCTTTCGCCTTCCCGATACGTAAAACTACTGATGTTCCAATATTCTTGAAAGCGAAGCAGAATCGAGAATACGTTCTTTTAAGTCTTCGGAGCCCTTTTTCGTGTGTACGATTTAATATAAGAATCTTTGTTCTCGTCGAAACGCTATGAGAGAAAATTATTTATTAAGATGTAAACGCATTTTATTCGCCGTCTCTTTCGTCAGCCTATGTTACAAATGTCTGTTAATTGTGCAAATTAACTGCTTTACCACGGCTCTTTCGGACGCACCGTTGCACAGGCGGATCTAATTCGTGACGCTCGCAAAATTTCCTGCGAATATCAAGACCGCCACGGCGAAGCGGCGCGCGTTTAAGCGGAGACAAGTCGGCAAGTGAAATACGTCCGTAATTGGACCGCCGCCGCTCGCCGGCCGCCGTATCCCCGCGAGTAAGCATCGTGTTTTCGACGACGAAACGAGTGCACGAAGAACGCGATCGAATTGTGATTTTAGACGATAACAAGTTCGAAACTTCGACCCGACGTTTTCTGCGCAAACTGCTCCGCGACTCGGCGTTACTTCCGTATTAAAACGCGCTTATTACAGCGAACCCGTCGTGAACTCTCGCAGTACACGCCCGAGAACTCGTGGCGTAAGTTAATTTCATCCTTCTGAATTTTTAAACGTAACAAGTAAATCTCGTTGACGGAGAAGTACAACGTCGGATCTAAAAGTTTCGTAAATAGAATTTTTATTCGTGTAACGCAGACGCGTGAGGGATTTTTTTTTTCATACTTTCTATACCATGTCAGAATTAAGATTCCGGAGATGACGGTTACCGCGCGTTAGCGGGAAAAAGGCTCCGTTCGTTCATCGATAATTCATTCTCTCGCTTTCAAGTTTCGGCAAGTGGTTGTACGGGAAGCTGACACACGCGGAAATCGCGGAGTAAACGCGATTATGGTCTCTGTGCTCCAAAAACGAAATGCAAACGCTTGACACGTTTGAGATGCATTCGGGACGCAGCTGTTTGCTCGCGAACGACGAATAAGTAGCTCGTCAAGGAAATCTTAAAGTCGTCTGTTTCACCGATTATTTGTCAAATAAGTATTTTTCCACAATCGTCCTTATGGTGGATCAATCAGAAGTTATCTTGGACGGTGTCCAATCTCTTGAGGATCTCTATGCTGAAGTGTCTAATATGAAAGATTAGTTGGAAAATTTGTACGTATATATAGTATGTGCTTGCGATATTGATGTAATACGTTCTAGAGAAGTGACGTACCTACTGTTGAATCATGTCAAATTTAACTAATTTAGGTCGCCACTATGCTTCTGCCCAATAAATTCGATACTATACAGTACTATACTATATATAGTGTCAAATTTGTTCATTGCATGTAACAATAGTAACAATATATTGTGTAAAAACAGTGACGAGTTAAAATTGGTTAAATTTGACACTATATCATAAATTTAACAATGCCTGTCCGGACATTTTCACAAAACTTTGTTCATATATTATTACTATATCTCAAACGTTTTTTTTTTTTTAATATAATATTATAATTTAATTGTAATCCTTAAATACAATTAAATTATAATATAATATTGTAATAAAAAAGCGTCTGAGATTAATAATAATAAATTTTGTGTAAGTATTCGGACATACATTATGTAGGTCTAGTTACAGAGACGTTTACCTTACTGTTAATGTAATGTGTTAGTGACACGTAAATCGTATAAGTCCTCCAGAATCGGTGAAATAGACGATTTTAGGATCCCCTTAAAGATGAAGCAGCGGTTAGAAGAGAGGAGGGAAAAAGTGCAGTCTCTTTCGCGCGGATTCAAGAAAACGGAGTGAAAGCCTCGCGGCATTGGTTGCGCTTTTCGCGGTACGCTTGACTGTAGTCTCGTGCCGTGCAGAAGTACAAAAGAACTTTCTCTCCCTTCTACCTTTGTCTCTTTTGTCCTTTTTTTTTTTCTTAATACGCTACTAGAGTGTTACGGCGATTAAGGCGGGGTCGTCTGTCGCGCGGGACCAGAATACTTGTGTCAAATGAACAGTTATATTTCGAGGGAAGTTAACCTCGGTGTTATACAGATTTTAATAAAAGTCACGTATTAAGAGTTTATACTTCAAATTCCCCTTTGCCATCGCATAGAAGTATTCACGAGAAAAACATTTTTCTGTATGTCTCTCACAGTTATTGATATTTGACGTTCGCTCAGCAGTAGACGTTGAATGAAATATAAATATATCGGAAGTACTAAAATGTATTGAACATCTATGAGAGAGCAAATATTGATCTCGTTCATTGATACGATCCCATTAATGTCACTATGCTGATAATTTCCGATATAATTTTTCGGTATATTTGCTTTGTCTTTGCTCGCAGACTCAATGTCTACGCCGAGAGGAGCAAACGTGGGATGTAGTTGACACTACCTTCCACCTAGCGAAAGCACGACGACGGAGGCGGTGGACGAGGAGGAGGAAGGGGGGGAGGAGGAAGAGGAAGACGAAGAAAGCGAAGAGGACGAGGACAACAACGACGACGACGACGACGGTCACGACGACGACGACCACGACGACGATCACGACGACGACGACGACGACGACGACGAAGACGACGACGACGAGGAGGAGAACGAGAAGGAGGAAGTGGAGAAGGGAAGAGATCGCTACGGTAGCGTCAGTGAAGGTGGTGCCGTTCGCCGAATCCCGGTGTCCGGCGACGAGGAGTGCCGGAAGCGTGGCGTTCGCGCGTTCGCGCGTACGTGCGTGCGTGCGTGCGTGCGTGCGTGCGTGCGTGCGGGCGGGCGTGCGTGCGCGCGCAAGGCCGCGTGGGCGAACACGCTCTCCGTCAGCGTACCTGCCGCGCGCATGGTAAAAGAGTTCGCGAGAGGTCGGACGAGGGTGAGGCGGGCTACGTGGGACCGGCGGTGGTGCCCCGAGGATCGGGATTCGAGTCGTGAGCTCCAGGGATTCGTACGAGACAGAATCAAAGTACGCGCGAACCGGTAACGCGAACCGTACCCGCGGACCACCGGCACAAGGATACAGACAAGGCACTGAGACGATTTTCCGAATTAACGAAAGAAAAAAAAAGAGAAGAAAAAACCAAAGAAAGAAAGAGAGAGAGAGAAAAAGCGAGAGACAGGAAGAGAGGACGAGAGAGATAGTCTCCGTCAGACATGAACGTTACTTCGATGGTGGAGATATTCGGCAATGACAGCAACAACGTCAGCAACGGTCTCGACTGCGGCGGTGAGCCCCATCAGTACGCGTTATGGGAACGTGTGACGATAGTGGTGATCGCCGTCGTCCTCAGTTTCACCACGGTCGGTGGCAACATTATGGTCATGATATCGTTCAAGATCGACAAGCAGTTGCAGACGATCTCCAATTATTTCCTCTTCAGCCTGGCGGTGGCCGACTTCGCGATCGGCCTAATCTCCATGCCCCTCTTTACGTTATACACGGTGCTCGGTTACTGGCCACTCGGGCCCTACGTGTGCGACACGTGGCTGGCCCTCGACTATCTCGCGAGCAATGCGTCGGTCCTTAATCTGCTCATCATCAGCTTCGATAGATACTTCTCCGTCACGCGTCCGCTTACCTATCGGGCTAAGAGGACCACTGTCAAAGCCGCCATCATGATCGGTGAGTATCAAATCTATATGCGGTGAGATATAAAAGTAAATATATTGTTGTGCAAAAACGTATGTTTTTTTTTTATCTGGAGAAATCATAGAATTCTCAGAGAACTTTGTCGAGATTCAAAAAAGCTTTTGTCGAAATTGTCTCTCCAGAGATTTTGCTTTTAACTCTTAGTATACGCGATAACTTTCCGGCCGTTTACTTTTACTGTAACACACACGATGGATCGTTCGTGTTTCTGGTTATTTTGTGCCACTTTTACAAATATAAAAATTATTAAGATGTATTCTTATATGTATATATACTTAAACATCGTTCAAATATATTAGGTGTAAGGTTGTACTTATTTAAACGTTACTTTGTACTTGGGGCTCTTGGTATTTCAAAGAAAAGAAATGCGTAACTCACACGAATGACCCAATCGTGTACTAAGGGTTAATTTGTGGTTCAAAACTGCTTCATTTTTACCTGAAAAATCAACAAATTTTTAAGCTATTTTTTATTAAAGTTCGCGCGAGTAGACATTAATAAAATAATTTATATCGTGTTTTTAATAAATTAACGTATTCCAATATATTACAGAAAGTTGCGCGGTTTATGAGTTATCTCCGTGACTTGATACATCGTTAAATGCCAACGTTTCGTGAACATTGTAGAACGTTATAGTTCACATGAACAGGGCGAGAAGCAATCTGATACTGATCAGTGTAAGGTTGCGTCTCACCCTGATAAGTGATCTGCAATATTCACGAAACGTTGGCATTTAACGATGTATCAAGTCACAGAGATAACCCATAAACCGCGCATAACTTCCTTAAAGAAAATACCCGTGGCAGCCTCAAAAGTATGCTTCAATACACCCGCCAAACACAAAGTAACATTACATCAATAGAACAGAAAGAACAGTTTTACTCAAGTATCTAAAAATTGTATACAGAGATCTGAAAATAATTTTGTTTCAACTATCAAAATAATTATGTAGGGCGCTGAAATTGTTGACTAGAATAAAAACTAGTTAAAACTTTTTGCAACGTTACTATCAACGTTTAAGTGTTCCACATAATTGTTTTGGTTTAACAGAATTATTTTTAGATCTGGATCTAGCTGAATTTTTTTATACATCCGTATAAAACCGTTTTTTCCGTGTATAATTCCCTACTCGACAAAATGTAATTACCGCGCACACACATTCAGGCAATATGTGTTACACTACATTTCTATTGTCGAGTGAGAAATTATAAATAAATTGATTTAATGTGTTACTGTTACTTTGTGTTTAGCAGATAAGTCTAAATTAATATTCGCGATAACCATTCGAAACCTTTAAATAAAAGTCTGGGACCACTCGAGTGTCTTCTATGTCCGTCATATGTTTGTTGAAAAATAAAATAAAATTTGCAATAAATATAACCGCATGTTCGTTGAAAAATAATCCAGACAACAATATAATGATCGTTCCAGGATCCGCGTGGGGTATATCGCTACTTCTTTGGCCACCCTGGATCTACGCGTGGCCGTACATCGAGGGTCAAAGGACGGTGCCGATGACTTCGTGCTACATCCAATTCATCGAGACGAACCACTACATCACCTTCGGCACGGCCATCGCCGCGTTTTATGTTCCTGTCATGATAATGACATTCCTTTACTGGCGGATCTGGAAGGAGACGAAGAAACGTCAGAAGGACCTGCCGAACTTGCAGGCTGGCAAGCAAGACGCGAGCAAGCGCAGCAACTCGAGGTGGTAACTAACGCTTTCAATTGTTTCTCTCTCCGAACTTGTCGTCAGCACGTCACCAAAAAAAAAAAATACAACCCTTGCACAAGAGAGATGGTAACACATTTGCCCTAATTGAAAGATCAGCCCTTCCCCTGATTTTACGGAGCACGGATGCACCGTTTAAATGAACATTTGACACCATTAGACGTTGTTAGATTAATTATAATTAATTTCTTTCGTACGTAAAGATATTATTTTAGTCGCATACTTTTCCTCCTTCCCCACCCTTCAGTTATATTATTGAATGTCTTTTTATGATTACTTTTTATACGATTCCTGTTATTCTTTAATGTTTGCTCACGATCTTTATAAAAATATTCTTTCGAGATTTATGGATCTCGCGTTAAATATTTTCTATATTTATTTAATCTTAATCTGATAAAGATATTTTTTTCTCTAGACTGCGTAACTCCTTTTGACAACGCGAGTAATCATGTTTTGCGAATACCGCGAGGTCGAAAGACTCAAGTGTAGCTCGATGTACTTATTCTCGTGTTTTCCCTGTAGCGACGAGGTTATTATAGATATGGAGGAGGGCAGAAGACAGCGAAGCGAATCGAGCACCGCCGACGACGTCTCGCACGCCACGCACATCGCGGTTTCCTACATTGATAAGCACTATCCGCAATATAAAAGCGTAAGTATAGTTGTAACCGTAAGCGCGAATGCGATTACACGAAACGGAGTCACTTTGCACGTTTTCGTATTTACTCGTCTTTACGAATGTCGTTGATAGTTGGAGCTTCATGCTTACAATTCGCGCAATTCAGATAATCGTGTTATTACTTTGAAATCTCGCGTGTCACATCTCTTTGTATTTTAAAAGGAAAGTTACCGATACTGACATAGGTTGCCTAAAGAGACACTCCTTTATTTTTCAGAAATTAAGTATTACGCTAATACTAATAAAAATATGATCTGTTTAGATGGTTAAAAAATAAAAATTCATAATTTGTACATATATTTGTGACTTGTTTCTGTATATGATATCAGCTAAAAAGGAATTCTACAAATGCAAAAATAAAATCTTATGATTTTTTTACAAATTGCGCAATTTAAATAAGAATGGCTATATGTATATATTATTTATCAAGATATATTTATATCTTTTTATATATGTTTCCTAAATTTATTTATATTTTTTCTTTCTTATGTTTGTCATAATATCCAGACAGCACATAATATTTATAAAATGTTTACAAAATATTTGTAAGATTCATTTTAAATATTTTGTGAAGATTTTTGTGAGCTTAGGTTGTACAGATTATAAATATTTATTATACGTATTATGAAATATTTATCATAAATATTATATAAAATATTTAGTCTATGTTTAAGTAATAGTTATTTATTTATATGTTTAAATAAAAAATAATAATTTTTAAATAAAGAGTTTGTATAAAATATGTATAAAATATCAATATAATATTTCAAAAAATAAAATTAACATTCATGAATATTTATTGTAACTATTCTGTGCTGTCAAGGATGGTTTTAAATATAAAATCGGGGAACAGCGTCAACTGACACATTTGTTCGTAAGACATATCATAAGCTAACTTAATCTTTAGTATTGCGTTTAGTGTCAAATAACTCTATCGAAGCTGAAGATACAAGTTTATATTTATGGAAAAACCTTTAAATCAAAAACTATCACATTGCATGTTTGCTTTTGACATGGTAGACAGTAAGTAATATCACATATTCTTATTCTTTTTCTTTTATAGAAGCCATCAGTACAAAACGTCTACAAGAGAATATACATAAAATTGTTTTAAATCTTATGCATATTCTTTTATATTTTGTACTGATAATTTCTATTAAAAAAAAAAAAAGAATAGGAATATGTGGCATTACTGCCTACTATGCCAGTTTTGAGGCTCATTTAACGTTATACTTAATTTTTACTTATCTCACGAAAGAATTAATTATTGCAAATATAAAAACTGCTATCATCTGATAGACGACACTTTCTAGTTTGTATTTATGTTTCTAAAGTTTTATTTTTAGCTTTTATTTAAAAAACAAAGTGATATGTCGATATTGGCAATTCTCTTTCCTCTGTTACCAATTCAAGAAAAATCAGAAAGAACTCGGTATTACGTTATGACGCAAAGTTACGTTTGCATACGTAATCTCGGCTAGGTTAATCACTTTCGCGATTAAAAGCTTATCCGTTTTCGCTTTTTGGGCGTGCAGCACAGGCCGTTCTCTTGGACCTGGCTGAAGATGTGGTGCATCGCATGGTGGCACAGCGGTCGAGACGACGAGGACGACGACGAGGAGATCGCTGGACCAGAGAGCAGTCACACCGGGGCCGGTTACGAAGACACGCTCACGCCGCTGTCGGCCGAGACGCCGCTTCCCAGCACGGTATCGCGATGTCCCTCGATCAGCGCGATACAGGCTACGGGAATCGCCCTGGACAAGACCATGCTGCACGAGTACAAAAGGTCGGCACGGCCGGTCGACCTTAGGAATATTTCCAACGATACCGTATGTGACGCTTCTATTCGTTTCTACTTGGGAATTGATTTGTGAAGAAAAACAACATCTCTCAATGTGTTTTCGAGAGAAATCAATACTACACACGGCAATTAGAGTTATTAGTGTAATGGTTACGTTGAGCAGAAAAAGCAGTTTTGCAACTATATTGAAAGATTTTTTCATTATAACTGCATTTTTCAAGCCCATTCTATTATACAATTGTGTGAACGCAAATGGTGATCGTAAATGGTGATTGTAGTTATAAGAATTGACCAATCACACAGTCGAATACGAGGAGAATATTCGACTGCGATCGATCAATTTTTATAGTACAATCACAACTACGTGTTTATACCACTGTGTGTAGAATGGACTTTAGATTCAGTAAAGAACTATAAGTTTCTCGAAATTTATATTTGAACGTATATTTGAAATTTGACGAAAACAAGAAGAAAAATTGTAGTGAAAAGTTCAGTGTAATAATAAGAAACAAAACTGTCATCTTTGAGATTGCAATTGAATCAATTGACTCTCGCTCGAAGATCCATACTACGCGCGTGTCTCTCCTTCAATTCCAGATTTATACTATTCTGATCAAATTGCCGAGTAACGGCGGGAAATTCACCGAGGGGACAAGCATAAGGATGATACCCGACGAGTCGATGCAGATGGGAGACAGCGAGGATGACGGTGGTGTCGGGGGTAGCGGCAGTGGTGCCAGCAGGCTCTTCCGTCTCGGCGGCGGGTCCGTGTCGAGTCCGTCGACGGTGACGATGAGAAGGCCATCGCAGATGCCGGACATCAGGATACCGTTGAACGCGAAGAACATACCGAAGGCTGGCAAGGGAATCCTGAGCAAGCAGCCGAACAAGAAGAAGAAGAAGCTGCAGGAGAAGAAGGCCGATCGAAAGGCCGCGAGAACGCTGTCAGCCATCCTGTTAGCATTCATTATCACGTGGACCCCGTACAACATTTTGGTACTCCTCAAGTCCATTACCGCCTGCTCGTGGTACATACCTCAGGTGCTATGGGACTTTGTTTATTACCTTTGCTACATTAATAGTACTGTGAACCCGATGTGCTATGCACTGGGCAACGCGGCATTCCGCAGAACCTACGTGAGGATTCTCAAGTGTAAGTGGCACAGCAGGAACCGCGGCACCGGTGCGGTCGATCGGGGATGATATCAGTAACCCGTCGATGCGCAACTTCGACCTTTTTCGCATCGAGGAGGGGAGCGGTCCTCCTCTCCACGCTTCCGATATCAACACACTACAGAATTGGAAGTCAACGACCACGCGCGCGCGCGCGTGCGAGCACACACATACACATACATGCATATACCGAAACAACGCTGTACTATTATTATTATTATTATTACTACTACTATTACTACTACTATTACTACTACTATTATTATTATCATCATTACTATTATTATTGTTATGTCGCCGTTTACTTTTCCTTCGTTTTACGCGTTTCTCAGATCGCACGAAGATGCGGAAACGAGGAGACCGGCGACTGCCGCGTATGAGTTTGGCGCTCGTGACTGCCAAACCATCCTGTTCCTAGCGATATCGCTCGTCGGGTCATGTCCGATCGTGCGTGGTCCACACATCTTTCGGGCTCGCCCTCCATCAGACCGTGCGCTTTTACGTTTAATATCGGCCATTTTCACGCTATCGTCACGTAGAAGAAGAAGAAAGACTACCGGGGTTTTCTTCTGCCCAAGGAACGCCACCACTTTATTTTGACTTCTTGAAGGTTAAATGATAATTTTTTTTTATTACAAAATTTGACTGCTTATTGATATTAAGAATTAGAATACAATTGTTTGATTTTTTTTGTTGACTTCTGTATGTTCCTTGGGCGAACGATTCTTTGTCCGAGGAACACACCAGTCGTGAGAAAATCAAAATGATAACCTTTTTGTTACCTTTTTATTAAAATTTGATTCTTTACTGACATTAAGAATCAAAATCAAGTCTTTCTTTTTTATGTTTTGTTGACTTTTACGCGTTCCTTGGATACCGAATAAGAGATTAACCCCCCGACGACCGCGTCATTTCCACGCGCGCTGACCGATCGCATGCATTTTTCAGTGGAAATTCTATTAATCGTCAGTAATTACGCGGATAACTCGATTATCCTCCGACGTAACGTCGGAGTTTAACGTTTTCTCTCTCTCTCTCTCTCTCTCTCTCTCTCTCTCTCTCTCTCTCTC